AAAAAAAACAAAGAAAAAAGTCGAAGACAGCTTTCAATTGAAATATTTTGTGTTCATCAGTTTAAGTGATTTCGATTGAACTGCGCAGTTTAACAACCTTTGGTTCATTAACGACTGAGAACAACATTATTTGCAACTCAAAAGAAGTTTTGTGGAATTGGACAAAGTAGAATGCAGCTGTCTTTGAAGTGAAATACAACGATATGTATTGAAAAAAATGTTGGGAAGTAATTAGAGGAGGGGAATGAAAGGAAATTGTTTCGATTGGAGTGAAGGTGACACCAGAAGTGTTTTATTGTTGATTGATGTTACTGTGCGCATTCGCAATCGCCAAATGATGTTTCAGCGTTAAATCACGGGAAATCACTGTTTTCGTTTGCTATCCGGAATGGATCAGCCGACTTGACTGAATTCAACTTTTTGATTCAATCTATGACATGAGTTAAATAGATGAAGCAAAGGAATGAACGAAATTGCAGAAGAAAAGATAAATATCTCAAATAAATGAGCTCAAATAAATGAGCTAAATATCTAAAATACATTAGCTAAAGTTGGATAATTTGCAAACTAATTTCCCTAATTAAGTTTTTTTCACCTAAGAGTTTCGTGAATTTGTGAAATTACTGCAGGGTTTCCTGAATCAGTGGAACTAAGCATGAAGTTTAAAGGTGTCACTTGCAGCACCCAACGAATATGGCTGAATGATAACGCCAACAGATTGATAGATAAAGTCAAAATTATGCTGATCTCCTCGTTCTAAGAATTCAGTCTATTGACTTCAATTCAGCACTTTTGAAATACACCGTATGTTTTGAGATTATCTTCTCGTGTACTTCGTTGAAACAGAAAAAAGTGAGTTGAGAATAGAATTGTCTGAAGCAAAAAAATTGTAAATTACAAAAATGAGACGATCATAGGAAATTTTCTGATTAGTTTCGCATGGAAGAATGAGGCTCAGCAAATTTACTGGTGTCCTCTCTTCGAATCTGCTCAACTGAAACTTCAACAAAATCATGAAAAGTGTTTCCGAGCTGAATCATTTCTGATATATTCCACTGCTGCGTACCGTCATCCACGAATATGGGTTCGTTAATTTCATCACCCATTCCCAGGTTACTCACACATCTAAAACATTCTCGCATTACTACCAGCAAAATATCATTTCAAAACATCAACTTCACATCCTCATGAAGATGGTAACATTCAAAATCGCGCATTCATAATGTTTACTTCCTTATGTTCACAATCTTAGTTCTTTCCACCGTTGTTCGTTCATTAATTTTGACAATAGTTTATTATTTTGTTGTTCATCTTGAATTGAATTTCTAGAGTTATTATCGTATAGATGCGGGGAGTCATTTTCATTGTTCTTCAGTTAGTGAAATTCAAATATAACCAGTTCATCAGTTGACGATAACCTAATTGTTGGCAGTTCCAATTCGAAGAAGTATCAGAACTGCACTCAAAGCATCCATAAGATATTTTCGAAAGAAGTTTGAATATTGTAAACTGATACGACTGGAGAAGTGCAGTGTACGATGATTTTAGTACTTATCAAAAAACCACATGGTTAATGATAAATCAAAAGACTTACAGTGATCACATGGACAGGTCATGTTGCTGAGTTCATCAATTAACTGCTGTATGGCTCTTTCCTAAAAGAACACTCCTTGCGATATTTTCTTGTTCACTTCATTCATTCGATTTCACATTAAATCAACTAGTAAATTACTGCAGCAGTTGAATCATGGGTCAACTTCAACAAGGCAATTCCGGATACAAAACACGGTCGATTCAAGTATTAAATCATTTGTCCATCGCTTACGGAAAAGAGAACGCCAAGAAAGACTACCTGAGCCATCGGATTGTACAAGGTATCAAACGATGGAGAATCTTTTCGTTTCGGATTCTTCTCTAATTTTGCTAAATCCTGTTTCATTTCCGCAAGCCATTTGTGTGCTTGTTCAATAATCATGTAACGTTTCAGCCAAAAGTGTCGTTGAATAACTTTCTGAAAATGTGATCATTCAATATAACACACAACTCATTTTAATCGCCTCATCTGCACTGTGGGAATACGTCGAATATGCGTTTGAAATTTCTGAAAAATGATGCGACACAGAGCATTATTGCAGAATTTTTGGTGAAAAAACCATCAGCAGATTGTATTTTGTACGGTTCAAAGATTCAAAACAAAATCGACCGATACATGGAACTCAGTGAATTAATTAATCAGTTGGGATTACGTCATTTCATCTCTAATATCACAACAATTTGGAGCAACTGGAAAAACATTGAGTTGGCTCTGAAAATTTGTGGAAAAATTTGAATTTTTACGAAAAAATTACTCGAAAACATTCTGGTCCATTTTTGAGTTGGTCTCGTATCGCGTAGGTGAGCGTTGCATGCTCGATTTGTGAGTTGTACTTTCTCGAATACTCTTCTCCCTTCTCAGTTCCTTGATACTTCTCAAAACCCGGTTCGTTGAAGTACGGCTCTCTTACGAATATTAAACCCTCAAAGAATATTACGCTAGTTTTCGCACGTTTCGTTTCTGTACAATTTTTGAAGGTTGCAAACTCTCGAACAAGCTGGATCATTTGGATCAAAGATTATTACTGATAATGAACGACACGATAATCATTCGTTATTAGGAATGTC